AGTGGTGTACAGGGGCGTTACAGTTACACAAGTCAGGTAATGAGTGTATTTCTTTTTGAGCACTGTCACCTCCTCCCTCATTTTCTCCTAGTTTTTCTCCTCCCAACCCCCGTCTTGCCCAAACTGGATAGTTCATTTCCAACAGTGTCTGGTGAGTATCACTGCTGAATTGATTCACCCTTTGTCTCACCATTTCTGTGCTTCTGCTTCCCCTCCTCAATATACACAAGACAAAAGGTTCAGAAATCAAGAATAGTGACAAAGGGAATAAGCTGAAGAAAAAAGTTAAATAACTGAAAACTATAATACATAACCTCTTTTTTGTTGTTGTTGTGGGGCTTGAACTCAGGATCTGGGTGCTGTCTCTGAGCTTTTTCACTCAAGGCTCTACCACTTTGAGCCACAGTGCCAGTTCTGGTTTTCTGGTGGTTAATTGGAGATACAAGTCTCACAGACTTTCCTACCTGCACTGGCTTTGAACTGGGATCCTCAGATATCAGCCTCCTGAGTAGCTAGGATTACAGGTGTTAGCCACCAGTGTCCAGTTAATAAAAAAACCCTCTTCTTTGCATTTCTTAGAGTTCATTTCAATATATGGTCATTTTCACATAGCCACTGAGCTTTTATGATCCTTTCCTAAGAATATCCTCCTTTGTTTTCACTGTGTGAATGTTTAGAGTGCTGTTTAATTAATCATGTTCTCATGTTCAAGTATAATTATTTGTCTTTTACTGTCCATTGGATTTACTTGTAGGTCTATAAACACATTCTAGTTATTACAAATGAGGGAAACCATTGGGTCTGGCATAGAGCTTTCCTATGACCCAGCAATCCCACTCTTGGGCATTTAACCCAAATGATCACAAACCAGCCTGCACTAAAGCCACCAGCACAACCATGTTCACTGAAGCATTGTTTACCATACCTAAGATACGGAATCAACCCAGATGCCCCTCAGTGGATGAATGGACAAGAAAATATGGTATATATACACAGTGAAATTCTATGCTTCCATCAGAAAGAATGACATTGTCCCATTTGTAAGGAAATGGAAAGACTTGGAAAAAATTTTATTAAATGAAGTATGCTTTGGCTTTTTCTAATAAGCAGTTTTTGAGACTAGTTTTAGAGTTATCGAAAAAAATTAAGACAGCACAGAGAGATTCTCTATATCTCTGATTTTATTTTTATACATTATATTAATGTAGTAAATTTGTCAAAACTAAGCAATCATCATTTATACATTGATACCAACCATAAACTGCAGACTTTTACCATATTTCATTAGTTTTTCCCAAGTCCTTTCTCTGACCTAGCATCCAATCCAGGATGGTACATTTAGTGGTTCTTTTTCTTTGCCTCATCTAGTATATGACAATTTTTCAAACTCTCCTTGTTTTCATGACCTTGATAATTTTGGGGGAATACTAGTTGAGTATTTCATAAAATGTTCCTTAAATAGGATTTGTCTAATGTTTTTGCTATGGTTATACTTGGCTCATGAGTTTGGAGAAAGAGTACTACAGAAATGAAGTGCCATTATTAGAGAGATCAGTGTGATTTATAACTAATGATTGTTAACCTTGATCTCCTATCTAAGGAAAGGTCATTCAGGTTACTCTTCTTTCTCTGCTCTGCTTTTTAGGATCAAGTCTTTATATGAGGCTATAAAGCAGAGGTAGGGGAGAATTTAGCTTCACCTTCTGAAGATGTAAGAACATATATATATATATATATATATATATATGTATTACTTGAAATTCTATTCTTCTATATTTATGCTAATTCATTTATCAATATGAGCTGATAAATATTTATTGTGTACTTTGAGTTTTTTTTTTTTTTTGGGTCCGGTCGTGGGGCCTGAACGCTGTTCAGCTCTTCAGCTCAAGGCTAGCGCTCTACCACTTGAGCCACAGCACCACTTCCGGCTTTTTTCTTTTTACTTATGTGGTGCTGAGGAATGGAACCCAGGGCCTCAGGCATGCAAGGCAAGCACTCTACCACTGAGCCAACTTCCCAGCCCTGTACTTTGAGTTTTAAACAAGTATTCCTATATATATTTTGTTGTTCAATTTGTCCCAGCTTTGGTCACTGAGAAGTCTTTTAGTTGGCTTCTCTGTCCCTTTTCTTTTACTTATTGAGCACTTTCTTATTTTCTAACACTATAAGATCTTTGAAGCTCATCTTGTATTGCCCTTGACTTTGAGGACCTGCGGCTCCTTTTATTGAAGAATATTAGAAACTAAGATCTAGACACTGGTGTGTGCTCATAGCTATTGAGGTGTCATGACTTTTAGATCATCTCAAAGGACAGAGTTAAGAAATACATGTATACATTCCAGCCCATGTGACTCATGTACCTATAATTATTTCTGGAAAGACTGTTTATGTTTATAGAAATGGTTTTCATTTTTGAGCTTTTATGTTTTTGCTGAATAGCCAACTGTAAAATTAGGAATTTCTATCTTCTGCTACCAATGATAAAATTAAACACTAAAAAGTGGGAAGGGGCAGGGAACATGAAAACAGAGACCTCAACATAATGTGGCTATTGCTTCATCATCCTTTAGTCAGATCATGCCATTTTAGAGACAAAGAGATCCTGAGAGGTTGAAAAATTAGTGGCATAGTCAGGTTTGGAATGTGGCTTTCTGAAAGAGAATCTTCATTTCCATTATATTTCTTGTCTTTTAATAACCAGTTGCTGCATGTGTATGAAAATTTGCCATTGATAGAATACATTAAGCAGATTTAAAAAGTAATTTTGGAAATTGGTGGATACAACAGAAGTCTGCTAGAGTGTCATTAATGAGAAACTTTTGTTCTCTAGCATAAATGGTAGAACAGTGACTTGAAAATGAACCCCTGAAGCCTGTTAGTAAGCGAGTCTTCACAAATGATTATGGTGAATACCTGCCCTCGCTTTCCTCTCACAATTATCTCTTATGAGCCCTCTGCTCTGGGGAGAGAAGCATGGAACCCCTTCAGGAGAGGTACTTTATGCATTTCCCGGCCTTTTAGAAATGGGATCTAAAGCAAGGGAGGAGTCTGCTTCTCGTCATCCACAGAGTTGGAGACAAGGTGAAAAACCTAAGCCCAAGCTGCAGCCTCCATGGCCCTCTCTTAACAGGCCAACCACATGACTCCTGTCTTTTAAATTACTTTTGGCAGCTTTTAAGCAAAAAAAAAAAAAAAAACCCTTGAGGATTTTCCCTCTAAGTTGGAGGACAGTCCTATGATGCCTTCCCATCTTTCAGCCTCCGTACTTTTGAGAAGGATGTCTGTTTATACTTGGTAAATCTTGTCTTGTACCAGAAACCTCTATCCTTTTCCATTTTTACCTTTTTCTGTCCAAAGACTTAGCATTTTTGTTTTGCGTAGGAGATTATAAACATGGAAGATTTTAGTAGGAATAAATGATAACAGCTGTGTTTTGTGTACAAAATGTAATTGTGGACCTTAACCTTGATATGACCTGTCCAAATTTGTTCAAGTATAGAAATAACTAGAAAAGCTCATTTGAGTTGATCAGCCCAGTATGGAACAACATTCAGCTGTTTGCTGTTTACTTAATCCTCAGGAGAGTTTCTACAGGTTTTTTTTTTTTCCTATCCCAATATTCCTAACATGCTTATCCGTGTAAAATAGCACACATCTACTCATACCAACACACAGTCCCTAAGACTGTCTTCCTCTCCTTTATTTTCCCTACAGCACTTACCACTGTTTATTGTGCCACATATTTTACTTCTTTAGATTTTAATTATATGTTTCCCTCACTGGAATGTAAACCTCTGAGAGCAGGAAATTTGTTTTGCTCCCTGCTGTGTCCCTAGACCAAGAATAGTAGCTTGAACACAGAAGGTGCTCAGGGAACATTTCTGAATGAATAATATAACTTGCAAGCTGTGATGATTTGACCCCTGATTTGAATATAAATACAAAGAGTGGTTTTTCTTCATAGGGCTGATTTATATGTGAGATTAAACCTCTTAATTCAAATGAGGATTTACCTAGTCACCAAAAAAAATAGAAAAGATCTCAAGATTTATGTTAGAAATGAATAAACTTAGAAGTTATACAGTTACTGCAGTAATTCAGTGCTGCTATCCTATATGCAAAGGATTTTGAAATTCTCTGCTAAATATCACTCGACATGTTGTTTTAAGAACCAAAAGCAGTTTTTAAAAGTTGTAAATTTTAAGATCATTTACTTTGAGATTCACCCAAAGAAGTTTTGATCCATTCTGCAACATTACCCAGTTTGATTCTTCAGTCCTTAATATTAACCATATTTAGTAGCAAATGTCATTTTTGGCTAGTATTCTGACTAGTATTTGTTAGCATACAGAATATTGAAAAGAAAATGTTCTCTCTCTCTCTCATATATATATATATATATATATATATATATATGTTCTCTTATGTTTGATGTATAGAGTGTTGCTGAATTTTAATCAGAAGTTCTAGAGCTAGGTGCCCATAGCTCATGCCTGTAGTCCTAGCTACTCAGGAGGCTGAGATCCGAGGATACCCATTCTCTCCTCCCAGAAATTTTAAAAATAACCCAAAACAAACAAACAAAAAACAGGTTAAAGGCATGGCTCAATGATAGAATACCTGCCTACCAAGCTAAGAGGAGGCCCTGAGTACAAACTCTTGTACTGTTCCTACTTCTTCTGGTGTGTGCGTGAGAGAGAAACAAAGAGACAGAGAAACAGAAAAAAGAGAAAATGCTGTCAAATCTGAGGTGAATTCTTTGAGACACTATCAGCTTTCACTTGGATATGTGAATCTTCCGGCTTTCATTAATTTTAAAATAAAAACTACGGTGCCAAACTTCTTGTAGTATTCTAAGAGAAATAAACAGAAATAAAAGGTAATGTGGTCAGTGAACATCATAGGCTTCTTTCCAGCCTATCTTTGGACTGATACGATGCATAAATTGTATCTTTTACACAATTTATGTAATATCACATTGTTGCTTTCTATTTCAGAGCATTGGGGAGTCCACAATGGCTGTTTTGTTAAACCAATTGCTGCCTATGATTAAACCTTCAGCCCAGAGGACCAATGATGACTACAGCCCCGAAGAGCTGTTAATCCTCCTCATATACATTTATTCTGTCACTGGAGACTTCACAGTAGATAAAGACCTGGAAGAAGCAGAAGAAAAAGTAAAGAAAACATTGGCTCAGGCCATCTGTGAGGAGTCTCAGTTGTCCCCTTTGCTGCAAAAAATCACAGGTGAGTGGAAACACTTATAGGCTAAGCATCACTGATACAGAAAACAAGTTTAAAAGTAAAAGCTGTTTTAGGAAGAAGATGTGACTTGCTGTAGTAGAGTTTGGAATCTTGAGAAGTGGGAGGGAAGTGTGATGAATGCTAGCTACCTTCAAAGTCAGGTTTATATTCTTTAGAGTCAAATCCTTGGTAAAACATCAAAATATTCACAGATATAATGATATATTTAAGGAGAAAATGAAATATGGTACCTCATATAACAAGGGTTTCTATTGATATATTCTCTTTGAAAGTTTGAATTTCCCCCTTCCAACTTGCAAACGGTTTCTTGAAGATATTATACAACCACTATCATAGGAATAAAAATTGCCATTGTCAGGAGTAGTTTCAAAATTTTTAATTTTATCCTTCCTTTGAACTTCAATTAATTGATACTATCTATAATAACACCCTAACACCCTAATAAAGAAGACTATGCTAATTTGAGGAAAATACATAAGTATCATAAATCTATTTTCACTTTTGGTGGCATAACTTATAAAAAACATGTGCTTTATGGTATGTTGTATCAAATTTGATATTGGTATTTATGTTTTGTGAAGCTAATTCCCATCGGTACAGATTGAATCTTGTCTCTTCCACAATAAGATGTTATTAGAATATATGTAAATCAGAAATACTTTAAAGACATACCAAATTTCCATCCATCTATCCACTCATTACTTCGAGTGTTTGTGTGTTTGGTGTGTATGTTTAGGTATATACAGACACTCGGAAACGCTCAACCAAGGCAGATTTTACACACACACATGTATACAAATATACACATATATACATGTATACATACAAATTTATATACATATGTCCTCTAACTTTTCATCTTGTCCCCTATTGGTCCTCATGGAGAGAGTTGATTTAGATTTTTCTGGAGCTATAGACACTAGCATTCTGTGCATGTGTACTTTATTTTGTGTTCACTGCTGACCTTTTTGGGGATTAGTTATGGAAAGTGCAACCCTGATAGAGATGAAAACTTTCTTAAATATCTGCTGAAATGATATATTTCCTTGCTTAGTATAGAACCTGTTTGCCAGCTGAAAATCTGCTTAAGCAACATTTGTGGGATTTGTTCCCATTTCATTAAGAACAACACTGAATGTGATTGCATGTGTTTGTTTGGCTATACATGAAAACTGTCTTAGAAAGGTTTAATATAGTTTATATAATACTTAGAACAAGGTTTTGATTTAAAGTAAATTTGAACGCTAGGACAATTTAATTGGAAGTTATTCCTTAAGTGTGTAATTTCAGAGACAGACAAGGATAGTATGTATAATATAACTGAGATTATTTGGATAGATTTTTATAATATTTGTATGTTGCTGTGTTATTTTTGGAACTAAAGTCATGTTGTAAGAATATTCATTTAGTGTTTGCTCAAGTTATACATTTAGCCATCCATTCATTTTTTATTAGTTTTTAATTTTGGTTGCTCAGGATATTGCTTTTTTACTTTTAAAATACTTTATGTATTCATGTGTATATTAGGGAAAAATGATAAGGTTGGAAGCTGAAGATGGAAAAATAAGGGCTTGTAGAATATTTTTAAAGTTAAAGATACCTTATATATATTTTTTTATTGTGAAAATACCATACAGAGGGGTTACAATTACATGGGCAAGAAAATGAGTATATTTCTTATCAAACATTGTTGCCTCCTTTGTTTCCCCTCCCAGCCTTTCCATCTCCCCCGGCCCCCCCCCCCCCCCACCAAAGTTGTAAAATTTGTTTTTCGACATAATGACTTGTACATCTCATTGTTGCAATGGGTCCACCTGTATCCCTATTTAAACAATTTGTTTTTGCCCTTCCCCTCCACAAATTATACTAACATCAAATACAGTGAGAGCAGGGGTTATACCTTGGGGGAGGGACATACAAAGCAACAAAGAAATCATCTTAGAAATATGTTAGAAACAGTTGCATTTGAAGGGTCAGGGAAGGTGGCTCAGTGGTAGAGCGCTTGCCTTGCATGCCTGAGTCCTGGATTCGATTCCTCAGCACCACATAAGCAAAAAGAAAAAAGCCGGAAGTGGTGCTGTGGCTCAAGTGGTAGAGCTCTAGCCTTGAGCTGAAGAGCTGAGGGATAGTGCCCAGGCTGAGTTCAGGCCCCACAACTGGACCCCCCAAAAAAAGAGAAAAAAAAGAAAAAAAACATTTGAATACTTATCTTGGGGTTCATTTCACTTGACATAAACTTATCTGACCATTTTTGCTTGTCTTGGACATATACTGGTTATTGAAAATAAGGGAAACTATGGAACCTATATTTCTTTGGGCCTGGCTTACTTCACTTAATATAATTTTTTCCAAGTCTTTCCATTTCCTAACAAATGGGGCAATGCATTCTTTCTGATGGAGGCATAGAATTCCATTGTGTATATATACCACATTTTCTTGATCCATTCATCTTCTGAGGGGCATCTGGGTTGGTTCCATATCTTAGCTGTGATACCTTATATTATTAAGTGTACATTCTTTCTTAGATTATCTTTGGATGTACAGTTTAAGGAGGGAAGAGAAAATGTTACTTTTGCATACATGCACTAGCCAGTGGCGCGCGCGCGTGCGCACACACACACACACACACACACACAATCTAATTCCAAGAAAACTTTATTCTTGGAGACAGACTTGCAGTAGGCAGTATGAGTATAGCCCTTCTTAAGAGTGCTGAGAAATCTAATGACCTGAAAAGAAATGCTTATACTTAAAGTTAGCTGCCTAAGAGAATGTTTAATCTACATCTTGGGATCAAAATTAATGGCAGAGCAGTGGGTGGTAGTGACACAGTTTTGTGAGATAGGGGTACTGCAGTTTGTCATGCAAGAACTGAATTGTCTACCAAATGTGCTTTCTGTCCTAGAACTAGGCTAACCGGGCTTTTACAGTGAACTTGCCAAAAGTGTGGCCCTTATATTATTCCAGGGTTTGGTCTTGGCTTTCTTGTTAGTAATAGAATTTATTTGATGTCTTGTGCCTATTTTGAAGTGGATGAAAATTTCATTGACAAGGATTATTGAAAGTACATAATCAATACAAGATACTCTTCATATTATGTGGCAGTTTTACTATTGTAACTGTTAGTAGGATCAAGAAAGCAATCCTTACTAGGCATCAGTGGCTTGTGCCTGTAATCCTAACTACTCAGGAGGCCAAGATCATAAGGATCATCCTTTGAAGCCAGCTCAGGCAGCAAAGTCTGTGAAATTCTTATCTCCAGTTAACCACCAAAAAGCAGATGTAGAGCTGTGGCTCAAGTGGCAGAGCAGTAGCTTGCCACTAGCTCAGAGATAACTTCCAGGCCCTGAGTTAAAGCCCCAGTACTAGCAATAACAGAAAGAATAAAAAACCCTTTTTCTGCACCTAAAACTTAAGCATGCTGTCAACTCTTAACTTCTAAGTGTAGGACTAGGACTTCGACCCAGGCACACACTGGCTAGGGAGTCTAGGTCTTTAAACATGGGATTTTCCTCCTACCACAAGCCCATTGTAATGACTACATTACTCATGTATGCCTGTATATGCTGGTTTATGCCATATCCTCATACTTATTACTATCTGAATAGAGAACTCATATTTCACTTACTACTTTACTTATTGCCTGTTTTTTTAAATCTGTCTATATTAGCTACTTAGAGATGTTTTTCATATCTTTCTATTTTTGTTTGTGTATCATATCCTCTTTGTTTCTGCAGTTATAAAGACATTATATTTCCAGCCCCTGAATTTTGCTGTCTAGCTTTTTAAAGAAGGAATAACAAACATAATTTCTTCTTTAAGAATATCTCTTGATAGTAATTACTCATGTTTAAAATTCATATTTTCTTTTATCTATGCATTGTGTTTCATTTTTGACAGTTTCTTTCATGTCCCTTTATTCTTTCTTTGTATGGAAAAAACAATAAGAAACAGTGATTGGCCAGACCAAACAAAATCTTAAGTATGTCTGTCAATGGAAGCATACTATTTTTTTAAAATCTGCTTTGTTTTTAGTAGATACTAGTGGGGCAGTTCCTGGAGTAGTGAGCCAAATCTCTTCCTACTCACACAGAATAGCAAGGATTTGCTTTCAATGTATTGGGGGTAGAGACAGTAAAAAGAAAACTAGTCAGAACTCCTTATGCTAATTAGTATTATGCTTCCTTGGTCCTGCTAGGTTCAAAGAGAGTATCAGTTTCTGTATACATTAGTGTTTGCATGGCCGTCACAAGAGGAAAAAGGCAACGCCATTTGAACTTCCTTCAGAGAAGGACATCAAATGCAAGTTTTAAAGGTCTGTGTATGCTTGGAATGCCATCATAGAGAGAGGTGCATCAGAAAAGCCAGAGGGGTTGGATATAGAAATCCTTGATTTAAAAGTCCTGGCTCTGCTATTTCCTAACAATGTGTGTGTCAGTGGGAAAATCACTTATTCTTGAGCCTGGATCTTGGACATAACTGCCTTATTGACTATTGGTCATTTTGCTGAGAATAAAATGATGATATGTATATGAACTAAGTTTAGGTCTATATGGGGTTGTAAAGAGGTCAAGTCTATTTCAGTAGCACCTAGCTGTCACATAGGTCTGTGATCCTCCATCTTTTTCCTGTGGTACCCACAGATAATGAGGATGTTTTGCCTAGAATAGTTTGCCCTGAATAGATTGCCCTGGGGGCTCAAGCCACTGAAGGCTCTAACTAATTGGCTTGTGGCATGAGGTGAAACAGCAGCTTGGCATACTAAAGCCTGTTAGGAGCAAGCCAGTACTCCAAGGGAGGTTGACCAGACAGTTCTGAATCAGGAAGCAAAGCCAAACTTGAGTTTTGTTGTTTTCAAGTCAACCACATCTTTTAAAAAATAATTCTTAGTGCATTAGTTATACAAATTACATAAATTGCTTCACTATGACATTTTCCCATATGCATATGCCATGCTCTGATTATATTCCTCTTCCTTTCTA